CCCCAAAACCCCAAAACCCCAAAACCCCAAAACCCCAAAACCCCAAAACCCCATAAAACCCAGTAAGTATTGTGGCTAGTTTAGAATTTTAAATGGAATCTATTAGTGAAGATCATACTTGCCCTATTTGTTGGGAAGTTCTTATTTATCCAGTCAGTACTAAGTGCAAGCATATCTACTGAAGCCAGTGAATTCATAGCTACCTCCTAGCTGCCAAGCAGAAGTGATGTCCGATGTGCAGGACTCAGCTAATCATGCAAAGATTCAACCCACCAGTAATCAAGAAGCTATGGGATTCTCTTCAGAGAAAATATCCTGAAGAAATTGAATTAAAGAAACCAGCACATGATGCTTATTTAGCCGAGCATAGAAGACAAAAAGACATTAAGAACAGCATAAAGATTCATTTTAACTACGGTTACATCCTTCATACTCCTTACTCACCTCATAAGACCATTTCTCAGAAAGATGTTAGCCTTTACATTTCTCTGAAAGACTCAAAAATTAATGAAAACTCTTTAATCCAAAAAGTCGATTTTAAGATAGAAACTCCTCCTCGTGCTCGCTTAAGGAAGTATTCTCCATTTACAACCACGATGAAGAAGGTCTATACTGGTAATTCTGAGGAGACTCCGACTGGTAAGCTTAATTCCCTTATACGTAGAACCAATTCCTGCTTTTATAAAAGTGACATGGCAACGCTGGACCAAATTACCTCCTTCAACGTACACTCTCGGTCTGGATCTTACCGGAATTGAAGAGAATTATCTAGAAATAGAGCCCGGTCTTGGAGCTACCAAAAACTTCCAAAGTTCTGACTTCGTCTATGTGCACAAGGTAAGTGTACAACATTGATCTATTGAGACTCTGACGAAGAAAATTCTTGACAAAAGATATTAGAGTACTAGCTCTAGTACTTTCAGGCAAAAATTAATAGTCAGTTTATTTATGAAAATTTCAAAGGTATTACTCTTAATTTGGATAGAACTCCTTCAACTTTCTGGTATTCTAGTGGGGTTTTGGGGTTTTGGGGTTTTGGGGTTTTGGGGTTTTGGGGTTTTGGGG